CAGGTTAACCTAGGTGGCCATGAATAATTCTCATGGTTACTATATTAAAAAGCAGCAACTGGTAAGATAGTTCATATTTTAGTGAGTATCATTTGACAACCATTTTTTGAGCACTTCAACATGAATTATCTTCACCCTAATTTTAAAGGGTAATGCAACACAGTATTTAGCTTCCTCAGGTTTATATGATGCAGAGATCAGAGCAGATCTACATCGGTATCCCAAAAGTGAATTTAAGGCCACTACTACTCTTCATTTCATACTAAAGCATAGGCTGGGTTAAGCTGCAGAATTAGCTGCCCTTTGATTATACCAGTGCCAGTCCATCAGGACTGTGCCCTACTACAAAGGAGCAATCTGTAGAGCACCTCATCTTTATGTTTTCCACACGCATTGCACCAAAACATCTACCCAAACAATTTCTGAAGGATAAGCACCTTAAGAGACAAGGAGTTTGTGCTGTTCAGGTTTTGGACACTTCAGTGACTACAGCCAAACCCCACAAAGAATACACTATTGTTTATAGAGAGAAAAGGAATCAAATTTCAAAATTAATCACTCAACCTGAATATAACTTCTAGGGAAAACCTGCACTTGGTTGATTTCTTTATTGTACACTACCACATTACAGCAGCAGCATTTCCATCCCAAGGCTCTCACCCTCCAAAGCATGGCTTTGCCTTTGCTTCCCCACTGAAAAAACACATCCTTTTGCTGCAGCTGCACCTGAAAGCTGCACCTTCACTTCTAAAGGCATGACACACCCAAAACATCAAGCATTTGGCCTTATAATGTGCCTCATAAAACTCAATCTTCTTAACCAAGCCAGTGCAAGCACTGTAGAATTGTATGGCTATAAAACCTAAACTCAGATGACAGTGTCTACATGGTCTCCATGCTGTGAATCACAGCAGGCAGCCACTGAGCACATGTCATCAGCCAGTTCTCTTTTGAGTCACCAATGCTGCCTTCATTCCTTCCTTGCCCTTCCCTCAGCTGAGAGATGAAACCTCTCCCTGCAATGTAGGACATTCAGCTTCATAATGACAGAGTTACTCTAAAAGATTAACTGTGCATTACTTCACTGAAAAGCCCCTTTAAAAAAAAAACCATAAAGCAAACAGATGTTACACATCTGATCCTTAGCATGCATCCAAAAAGAACAGCCCAGATTCCCAGGACAAATGTGTCAGCTCTACTTTCATTTAGGAGTTATCATAGCAGCTGTGGATAAATGTGCTTGTATTTGGCAAAGAATGATTAAAATAGGTTTCTTAGGAGAATTTCTATGATAGATAGAAATTTTACACTTGACAGTGCAATTAAGTCAGAGAAAAACTTCAGAAAACATTTAGTGCTTCAATGTTATAGTAACACAACATTTTATTTATTAATATTCTAAGAGGAAAAGTAGATTAGTAGAGTGAAAATCCTGTACTTCTGAGTTACTGGGGTAACCCTAATCGCTATTCCAAACACACTAAGTAACGTGTTTCAGGAAGCTCGTGGGTGCAACAACACAAAAGCAGCAGTACACTGGATGCTGGTATACAACTGGCATACCTGCATCCATACAACACACCCATATTTCACCACATACTGGGTCCTGAGATGCACTGTAAAGAACCACATGTTGAATTCTTCCTTTATTTACATTGGCATGATTGTACTGGCTTCAGTGGGATTGGATTAGCATAACAGGAGGAATCTGGTTTTCCCTGTGATCTTTCCCTCAAAAGTGCAGCAATCAAGCTTCCTGTAAGTGCAGACAACTGCAAAAACCCCCCAGACCCTGGATTTACCTGGACCCATCAACACATATTTGGGAACAAACCCTGAAGAACGTACAGGTTTCTCAGGCCTTCATGCTTCAAGTAATGTAACAACTGCAAAGAACACATTTCTAAGTGAGCGTTGTATAAACATTATTTTCTGCAGCCGTCTGCATTTTTTTTTTTGCTGTAACCACACATACTTAAGTATGACTCATGCCCACGACAGAAGCCTGGAATTCCCGTGTCCCAAGCTATAAGCCAAGAGAGCAAGCTATCTAGTTTCCAGTCTCCTCCTGTTTTCAGTTCAGCATTTCTTCTCACCCAAACCTCCCTTCTACATAGCATTTTACATTCAGGGAATTTTAGAGACAGCCTTGTCCTCCTCTTCTGCTTTTTATACACAGAGGACAAATTGTGGCTGCCCAACTCACATGGATTGACCATTCTTCAAGACAACCCAAAGCTACAAGGTCACTCCAACTTGTTTTGGAAGCACTGTGTTGTAAAGGACTTATTTACACGCACATATATAAAAAGCCACAGCAGCTCTGCTAATATCTTGACATCTACTATTCCTGGCCATCAATCCTGCAGCAGGCTCTGTGTTAGCTCATTCCCTGTGCAAGGCAAAGAACATCATGGGAGTGTTTGCAATTTATGAGTATCCTCTAAAAATCTCTGCACACACCCCACAGACATCACACATTTCTTTTGTTTCAATGAACTGATACTCAGTGACAAACAGCACTGGCCGACTCTGTGCTTCAACTAGGAATGCAATTAGCATAATTGGCTGTTAATCTACATATAACAGGGACCTGGGACATTCTCAGCGTGCAACTCCTCTGCCCACAGAGGATCCATTCGAGTTTACACTAGGGCTAAATCCAACCTGTAGTGCTTGGTGCTTGTTACAGCACTCACTGTGTTTCTTCCCTCATAATGAAAAAGAAATCGGGAGATGAATTGCAGATGCAGCCAAAATCTTCCTAGCCACATTCAATTTGGTTTCTTTATCATCACTTATTCCAGATACCATGAGATGTTCAGTTGCACAAAGGCACAGACTCAGATGTCATATTAATGTTATCTATTATTCTGTGCCTTTGGGAATGGGGAGGGGAGCCTTAAACTGCATGTTTTTAACATCTGCTATTTTAATGCAATTTAAAAAAAAATTATTTCTGAGCTCTGGAGCAAAGAGATTATTGGATGGCAGAGTCCCTCAGAGCCTAAATTAGGTGTTTCAGGTCACAGAAATCTCTCATTTCAGCCTTTTTTTAGAGGCACACAGTACCTGGGGAGAAAGTTCTGCTTGTTTGCATCTAGCAACATGCAGTGTAGAAGAATGAGGATTTATTTAAAGCTACATTTTAAAGAGAAGATGTGACTGTTAAATGATGTTGAACACCAAACTGAATGTGCTTTTAACCCCTTTCCTGGCTGTGTGGAGAGGAATCTCTGCCAAATGAATCAGAAGACTTCCACTAGGAAAACTCACCTGCCCTACACACAAGAATAAGGATGAAATTCTGTCCTGAGGCTCATTGTGCAAAGGGGCAGCAAGAGAGAAGGAAAACCCCTGTCTCGAGCTTAGACTCACCGTTTTGGGCTTTTGCATGGAGGAAAGCCTCTGTCAGAGCTGCATCTGCACAAATGAACAATGGATTGCCCAGATACCGGTACACACACCCCACAGGTGCTGGGCTCACCTTCCAGCCAAGCTCATCCTCACGGACACGGGGATTTCCCATCTAACTGCCCAAACAGCCAAGGACACAGGACTGGGGAGATTTAGCTAAAATAGCCCCATCTCGTGACTCCTGTTAGTATTACATAGGACTATTACTAAAATAAAATGCATTGGTTTTATTTTAGTTCTTTCAAACTGAGCAATATCTTGTACTGGAAGAGGTTTCCCTTACCAACACGTTTTCCATACACAGTGTGTTAGGGCTGTTAGCAGGAGATCCCTGCAGAAGTGATTCCCACAATTCCCAAAAGAATCCCTGCAGACCTTGGGCCCGTTGCTCCCAGCCAGAGCTGCCCTCCACATGCTTTTCCGTGTCTGTGTTTGGAGAATGTGCTCCCCAGCCACTGTGGGTAAATATCTTCCAGGGAATGTACTGACCCCCCGCAGACAAGATCAGGTCTCAAAAAATTCCTAGTACACAACTCCCTATGAAACAGGGTGGGGAAACACTCAAACTCAAATGCAGAGAAGCAGCGGTCTAACAGAAGGGGTTCACCAAGGCAGTGCCCACCACACTACAACCCTTCCCAAACCAGAAAAATACCCCACCTTGTTCAGGGCCATTTAGACACCCCACACTGCAGCACTGCCCCTTTAGAATAGAGAGCTTTCCAAAAATTCTCAGCTGTGTTCACTTTCTGTCCCAGAAACATGGACTTAATCATGAAATCTGACACGACTGAAGTCAGTGGTTTTGATCCCATGGATTGTTTGTACACTTAATACAGAAAAGCTGTATCTGATTTTGTTGGTTCCCACTAACAATCGGTGCAAAATGATGAGGTATTGATGTTATCTGAATTCTTTTCTCATTACATCAAACTTCAGAAAACATGCTGTGGCAATTTGCACTTGTGACATAATGAGTGTCAATTGCTACAAAGGAAGCACAGACAATCTGAGAACTAAGAGACACAAGGATTAAAGTGGTTCTCACCGACACACACTTTTATCTTAACTAGGAGGAGTCTTGCTATTAAATTTCACAAGCAAGCACAACCCTGAAAAACTCAGTAGCAGTGCCCAACCTCCCACATATTCCAGCGCAAGGAAGCATTAGGAGGATCTGGTTCTCCTTAGGAAAGCCACAGGGCTGCTGTGTCCCTTTCCAAATACTGACAGTGACACCCCCTACATACAGTATCAAGGAAAGCTCAAGCCTCCATCCTCAACTCATCTCAGTGCTTTTCCAGTTCCCCCCTCAATATTTGCATGTCCCAAATTTCCTCTCCAATCGTCTTTGCAGTAGAAACACCCTCTCTGCTATCTCAGAAGCACCTCTTTAGCCCCTCCACTCCAAAATCCCTTTGCCCCAAGGCTGCTGCGCAACAGCCCATCTGTGCTGGGATGGATGTTTTATCACTGTTTTGGGCCAGGTTCTGCTCCCAGTGCAGGAGGAGGAGAGAAAGCAGTGCCTGCTTTGCCTGTGCTGCACCTCACAGCAGCACAAGGCTCACCCCAGAAACCCCACATATCACTCTAGAAGCTGAGAGCCATCTGCAGCCCACAGTATGTCCTCACCTGCTTGTGAATGACCTCCAAAGGAGCTCATTTAAAGCTTCCTTTGGTAAGTATAGATTGTTTAGTCTTGCACTGCAGACATGTCTAATCCACAGCAGCAGCAGATTAGATCAAATACTTGTTATTGTTTTGCTATGGGAAGACTATTTTTAAGGGAGGGGGGAGGTTGGAAACCTGTGTCATTTCCAAATATATGGCAGTTATTAATCTCAACTAAGTAACAAAGTTTCCATAATTTTTTCTCCCAGTCATCTAATTTGGTTTTTTTGCCTGTTTTATTCTCATTTTGACTTGTCTTGAGACTAAGAGCTTTTTATGCAGAGATCATCACTTTCAATACATTTATACAGCACCAAGCACTAAAGAACACTAAACATGTGGGTCTTTAACACTATCAAAATATAAATGTATAATCATATGCTGCATCACTAACCTACGGGAAGCACAGATGGTATAGCACTGATATGGTTTGAAGCTGGCTCCCTGCCAAGTCTCCAAACCTTACCGCAAGAAGTCATGTGTCGTCCCCCCCCCAAATCTCAGGGAGAAGAGGGAGAAAAACAACTAAGAAAACCCGAAACGACAGAGAGACAGCTAAAGTGATATATAAATATAAATATATATAAATATATTTACACTTTTTACAGTTATAATATTGAAATATATACAATTTCACAAGGGAAAGGGAAGGGGGAAGGGAAAAGGAACAAAACCAAAATAAAATATATATATCCCTATTAGTGGCCCAATATCTAAACAACTAAAAGAATTAGTGAAGAAATATCTCACTACTCTCCTTGGGACAACCAAGAGTCGCTCTGGAACGATCGCCGGCAACCTCTGTCTCCCAAGGTCGGCAAGGCCTAACCAGGCCTCGCTCCCAACACGGCAGACCCGACAGCAGGGAACCTGCACCTCCAAGCCGCCGGAAGGAAAGAAGAGAGCGAAAGCCTCTCCTCCTTTCTTCTTATAGTCTGGTTTACGTAAAAATTGTAGGGAATACTGGGTACATCTGGACCCTTCCTTGGTTACAAACTGGTCACCAAGGAAGGCCTAAGCCAAACTACCACAAGCACCCAAGAGTCCTGGGGCAGGACTCCTTCCATTCTGTTGCACAGCGAGGCAGTGCAATAAGTCACAGCCTAAAACTAAGCTTTTAAGTTTGGGAATTATGTACCTAAAAAGTTTACATCTGACTTTTTGAGGCAGGGGCCAGGTTGGCTCCAGCTTACTGAGATGCTGAAGCTGCAGGACACTGAGCAGTAACTGGAGCACATACTAGTCAAGACCAGATACAGGCATTATTAAAGTAGTTATTGCCATACTTTTTTGGCCCCTGAAGTCTATCTCAGCTGGATGCACTGCAGTGTAATCGCCTTGACACACAGACACAAGAGCAACTTTAAAGAACTCCTCTGTGATAAAACAGCAGGACTTGCCTGATCTCAAGCAGGAGCCCTCAGCTGCAGAGGTTAAGCAGATACAGTTGATGCCCCAATTGAGCAGAGCTAAAAAAGGAGATTATGTGAGTGCATTTGCTCTTGCCTTCATTCCTCCTGTCCTCCAAATGGACTAAAGCTTTGCCCTGTCAAACTCTGAGAAACAATGTGCTCCATCTGTTAGTCTTGTCTTGCTGCTTTTCCTGTAGAAATACAGTGGCTTTCCAAGTTAAAATCAAGGCCTCCAGATCCCTGATGCTGTGCGTCTAGAGGAGGCATTATTAGCCTGAGCTTGTAGGTGGGGAACAGACAGATTAACCAATTTGCCTCTAGATTACTCACAAAGCCCTTAGCTGAGCCCAGGGCTGAACTCAAGACCTGTCTCCCAGCCAGTCCTTCAGTAAGACTTTTCTTCTCTCCAATAGGATCTGTGATTTTTCCATAGAAAAACTGTAGAAATTATCTGTTACCATTTCTGCACAAAAATTTCCATATCTGAGGTTGACAGAAGGAAGAAAAACAAGACAATGGGGAGTAAAGTCAGAGAAGGTAGCATATGATAGCTGTCAAAACTATTCAGGGTTGAGATTCCCAGGTTTATACATCCAAAGAACTGAGTCAGCTTCCTCCCAATAAGCATTTATTGGGACCACTGACCGCTTCCAAGGTCAGCATGTGCCAGATACTAACATTAATTACAACAGAACAAACAGCTTTTAGCAATCATGAAATTCATCATTCTCCAGGTGCTGGTAAGCCTGTTCCCAGTCCTACTCCAACTTTGTTATTTTTAATAACTTACTCTGGAAGGATTTCGAATGTGAGTTCCCTTTTCCATTCATTCCTTTCTGTTAGTACAGCCAGGGATTCTAGCAGTTGGTTTCAAGTGATATTTACTGCTAAAAGCCTGCCAGACATGCTGACTGGTAAATATGCATTACGTTGAAAAAAAAAGAAACCTCTCTTTCTGTTGATGCACTGGATTTCTGTGGTCAGCTTCACACCACCTAGACAATTTCATACCAAGGGAAAATTGAGTTTTGAATTCCAGAACTTCAAATATTAGTAGCAGCATAGAAAATGAGCACAAAAAATGGTGTTGTCAGTGGCCTTCCCTCAAACAGCCAGCAACATTCTTAGCCAGTAAATGCTAAAGCCTGTAGGCTCCAGCTCTAGTCTCTTATATCACATATTCCTGCAATTCCATCTTCTAGTTCAGTCTTGCTGGAGACTTACTGCACTGGGACCTTAGGAGAGGACACTGAACTCTTGGGGGCTTGTGCTGGTTTAGCACCTGCAGACCCTTCCAGCCACAAAACTTCATGGGTGGCCGAGGTAACCCTGATGGCCACAGCAGCTTCCCTTATGCACTTCATGAAGGACACGATCAGCAGGTCTGACAACACCTCTACTTCCACTGAAAACCCAGGTGCCTGTGCAGAGCCTCAGCTGGGAAAAACCTTTGAACCAACTGCAAAGCTCCAGGAAGCCCTTTCCAGCCTTTTCACCCAGGAAAAAGGAACCGGGGGGTAAGGGTTTCTCTATTCTTCTCTCATTCCCCAGGTTTCACAGCTGGGGAGAATCCAAGATAACTTTCACAGAAGAGGACAACCCAGCCTTGTGAGATGTTTCGGTCAGGTCTATGCACACAACACTCAGTTTTGGAGGTCAGACGACACGGAGGCCTGAAAGACTTTCAAATGTGTCAAACCGACATAAAAATCTAGTTGGTGGCAGTAAAAGATGCAGAACTGAATCTAGATTACAAAACAAACTCACAAAGCCTTCAGTAGTTCAGATGCAGCTCATACTGTGCAGAACTATTACAAAAACATTGCTCCAAAAGCACTTCCCAACATCTGCACTTTTTAAAGTCACAATTAAGGGCTGCCGAATGTTCTGTTCCTGCCGTTTTTCCCAAAAATCATGTCTTGGCAGAAAAAACGTTACATCTTTTCTGCTGCAATGTCCTTCCTGTGCCAGCTACAACGCCAAGCATCATTTATAGCCACATAAAGCCAGAATGAGCTTATACAAGACTGTCTTAGTAAACCCAAATTGAATTGCAAACAGATCCACTTCTTTGTGTAGCAAATCTGTTATCACAAATCTAGGATCTAGAGAAGTGCAAGCCTGTATAACAGAAAAGCTCATCAGTTGAGTCCTGTTGTCCTCACTCAGGTAGAATCATATAACCATGTAGGCTAGAAAAGACCTTTAAGGTCATCAAGTCCAACCCAGTACTACCAATCCTAAACCATGGACTAAACCCTGTTCCCTAAGCACCACATCTACATGCCTTTTAAATACTTCCAGAGATGGTGATTCCAGCACTTCCCTGGGCAGCCTGTAAGAGGCTGGAGTCTCCCTTGCCCTCAACAGGACTGGATGAGGGAGAAGAGCTGGGCTGGCAGCACCCCTGCCCCTTACCTCCCTTGCAGGTGTAAGGCACTGTAAAGCTATACAAGAACCACCAGGTCTGTTTGCTTGTCATAATTTTGCTTTCCAGTCTTTCACAAAATTAAATTAACCTTCACCTACACCACTGTAGCCTCATTTACAATCAGACAATTATTTCAAGGTAACACAGCAGCAGTTTGGAGAACTTGGAGAAAAGCAAACTGGAAACATAGCCCTGAGGGATGGTGTCATTGAGCACTGAAGAGCAGGTGATATGACTCATCCCATTACTGTGCATTACAGGATGCTAATTATGGCTCAAGAACAGCAGGGAGATAAAGGTATGGAAAGAGTGGGGACTATCTGGAAGTGGTGGACACACTATGAGAATGAGACCTGCATTAGACCGTGACATACAATTTCAAAGGGAGCAGGTGAAAACACTGAAAATAATGAGCATCTTGCAATGAAAGCATTGTCAGCTCTGGTGTTATTTCTTTGCAAAACCTGGAGCTTTTCCCTGTAACAATCAAGTGGAGGAGGAGGGGGTGTGCACACACATGTAGACACTAGGTATTTTTAAAGCCTATTTTCAATATACTTTTAAAGTTAAAAAAAAATCAAGGGGGAAACTTCATCTTGCAACAATCTTCTTTCAACCTCAAACCATAGTGACTATTTAAGGAAAGACACACTGAAAACAGCTCCTTCCCTTGGAGCTGTTGCTAAAGATGCAGTCCTCAACTGACAATCCTTTCTTCCCCAAGGAGGGACCCATTGCTATGTATTGTACACTAGACATTCCTGTGACCCCATTTTCTCAACTCAGCCCACCCCTTCCTTCTGCTCCATCTCAAAACATTCCTACAACATCCATAATCGGTGCACAGGCAGAGTGCTCAGCCACAAAATATCCATAAACCCTCTTTTAATCAGCAGAGCTGAACAGCACAGCCCATGATGGCATATCCCACATTCCACAGCTTTTCTTCACACATCTGACCACAACACACTACACAAAAGAGGTTTCCAGCAAACTTTTGTATGAGTCTGGGCTTACATCTGGTTCTTAAATTAGTGCAGTATAGGTTACTGCCCCACAATGCCAAAACATCATGGTATTTGCAAAGAGGAGAAAACTATTTACATTAAGATATTTTTCAGAAGCACTGAAGTCCCCATCAAAGAGTGCTCAAAATCCTTCTGG